CTATAAACAACTCCGTTTAATCTGAGCTGAATCCCGCTTTTGGTTGTAGTGATTTCTCGGCTTTTTAGTAATACCTGCTAAACCAACAATCACGAGAATTATAACATTGTAAGAGATTTCTGCTGCTCAGCCAGGTTGAAAGGTGGATCGCATGCACAGTAAAATAAACGGTGCCAAAGTTATATGACAGGTCCTTGAGCCCTATGTAGGTAAAGGGAAACAGGGTATATGCGGGTTTTTCTTTTAAATATGAACGGCTAGTGACGTCACTCCCCACGTCGCAAGCTGCCGTCGACGCGGCATCTTGGGCAACAGTAATCTTCACAGGGAACGCATGCGGTGAGCGCTACGTGCTTCGCATTGTTTTCAGGAACTCCTTATCATTCATTATATGGTTAGGATGCTTGTTTTGTGCCTATTATTTATTGAAACATATGTTGTGCGGTATGTTGTATGTGTGGTGTTTGTACTTTTCGCTTCAATCTTCTGAAGTTTTTGTTCCGTGAGAACGGCGACACGAAAACACACGCGGGAAGAAGCAACGTGCTTCGCAATGTTCGCAGGCGCCGTTATCATCCATTATGCGGTTTGTACTTCACACGAGGGCTTCGAATGACGTCAACCCCTTTCGAAGCAGCTGCAAACCTAATCTTTACCGGAACGCGTGGGAGGGTGTTCCTATTGTTCACACGCGCCTTACCATCCATCATGTGGATTTGATAATTTTTCTTTGGGGTTTTCTTCATTGAATCGGATACTGAGCTGTATGTATGCCTGATTTCAAAAAAAGATAAGCTGTTTTGCCTTCAATTGCTCGCCTGGAGTTTTTCGCTTACAACGCCAACGACACGAAAATTTCTTTGACTGGTAGAGGTGTACAGCTTCGCTATAAAAGTGCTGGCCCTCTCCCTAGTGATTATCTATCTTTTCTAAGAGCATTGTATTCAGGAGGACATATTTCTTAATTTATAATGTTAGAGCTAAACCATGATTTTGTAAGCACCATTACATTGGGAGAATAAACCAGCAGGGTCTATGCCATATCATCTAGCTTATTTTCAATAGTACAAGCATTCATATTTATATATGTATATAGAATTTCCCCAGTTGTAAAGGCTCTGTTATACTCCGACGTTGAGCGCAGCGAACCCAGCGTATCGCAGAAGGTGGGCCATTGATTGGCCGGTGAGCAGGAACTCGATATCTGCAACCAATCAGTATCTGTGTGCGCTGCGCTACGCCGCGTTTGCTAAGCTCGACGTCGCAGTATAAAAGTGCCTTAAGTTGTATTCTAAATTTTGTTGATTCACTCCGACAGTAAAATAGGAGATCCCTTTAGATTTCTTCGTTACTGAGCAGCTCAGATTTGTCATTGCCGTTGAATAGTGGGAGCAGGACTGGACGGGACTAGGAGCCATTAAATCAGCCCCAATACTGTTGTGGGTGGCGCCATCTTGATGATTAATACTGAACAGACGCAACTGCCGATCGTCATGATTCAGATGTGCGACTTCCTCAGCATTTCATTCGGTGTTAAGGAGCTCATGTGATTTTGCTTTTCTCTGTCACGAACTGTTTAAACATTTGTGGAGAACGGAAACGCGATTCGTGGAATTTCAGTTAAAGCTTCAGATGAATGGCCAACATAATTGTAAGCACACGAAGACGGGTAAGTGTCGTTCCTCTGAAGCCTAGCTTATTTTGTGGCTCTACACGGGACTTGTTCTGTACCTCTTTCGACAACCTGCGCATACTTTCCATCTCTGACACCTTGACCCCTAACTTATTCCTACAAGCTTTCTTCAGAACATACTTCTTAGGTTATATGACTATCTTCCCTTCTCGTTCGTTGATTCTATAAACTATAACATTGTTTGTTAATTGCAATTTTCGATATCCTAAACTTCTGAAGTCAAATGCGCGATGTGTTTGCTCATTTCCCTCAGAGGCTCCTCACACTCCTCTATATTTATTATTTTTTTTAAGGGAACCGACTTTATATTTGGTTATGTACAATTTAACCTAGCATTGTTTTTGGATATATTCCTATTTAGTGCTTCCTTCAAAATCTTAAGAACCTCTGCCGGCCTTTTTTATCTTCTAGAACTGCGGCTGGCCGCTGCCTAATCTAAAGACCGGGATTAGACTCAACATCTTTAATAAAAAGCTAAACTAAAAAAAACAAAACAATAAACAAACGAAGAAAACCGACGAAAAAAAGAATCAAAGCAAAGTAGCACTTAGAGCAAAGCAGCACCATTAGGCACACATAATTGATTCGAAATAACAGACACCATTTCCCAGCTTGCACCAAAAAGGGCATCCGGTTTAGTTGAGTCCGCATGGATCCGGTGCTGCCTTGCTTACTGAAGAGAATGTCGCGTGGGGCCGTGATCAATGCTTCTGTAGATGACGATGGCACTGCGTAAGTCCAGGGTGAAGCCACCATTTCTCGAAAAGAGCTTGAGCGTCCTTCCGCCTGCCAGGATTATTTCCCGTTGCAGATAAAAGCGTCCGGCAAACAAGTGTTGCAGTGACCTAGGCTTTCCTCGGTTGCTTGTCCACATTTTGCTCGAGCCATGATCGATAAGGTTGGCGCAAGAGACAAGAATCTGCACCAAAAAGAGGAACGTCTTTAACTGAGTTCGCATGGTTTCGGTGCTGCCATTGCTACCGAAGAGACGTAAAAAAAAAAGTTTTGTGCGTTTTTTTAAAGGGAGACTCCTTTCTTTCGTTACCTTTTTTTTATCCTCTTTTGTCCGCTTTTAGCTATCTTTCCCTACCTGAACTCAGTCGTTCGAGCAAGGCGTTCGGGCGTGGGGGAAGGGGGGGGGGGGGGGGGCGGTAGTTTGAGAGTAGGGTGCGTGCTACTAAAGAGTTGTAACAGATTGTTTCGATGACTCCGGGTATCGTTGTCGGGTGTATCGGAGGTATCGGAGCGATCTACTGAAACACTCTACTGTTTCGCTGTCAGTGTGAATGTGCGTGCTGGCTGATTGACCTCAAATGTGAGCACTGTACTTTGTTACTGTTTCCGAGCGCTTATATAATCCCGGAACATGAACAAAATGGTGTTTGCGATAAAAACTAAATAAGTAAACGGAAAAGATGGTGTTTTCGACTGAATGAAGAAACGGTACCGATAGAGCAAACAGTTAAATATCTTGCCTCACGCTATCAGCGGACTGCACTTGAAATGCGCATATTGATGATGTTGTTAGAAGGGTCGAAACAGCGTTTGGATTTTTAAAACGAAATTTAAGAAAAAATCAACTAATGGTATCAAAGAGCTCACCTCTTTCTTCTGTGTATGTCCAGTTTTAGATTACGCTTGGGCCGTCTTGGATTGTTCTCAGCAAATTGTTGCACTAGAAAGAATTCAGAGTCTTGCTGCTAATTCGTCCTGCAACGGCACGACCGTTTTACGGGTGTAACCGACATGATTAAAAAAAGTGGGATGGTCTATCGTGGCGTTAAGAGAAATAAATTTGCGCGTGAAGTTTTATTCAACATATATCACAATTTAACTTGCATTAATAGGTAATCTTACTTATTACCTTCAAATTTAATCTCCGAAAGGAAAGACCAATTTCAGTAGATAAGAGAACACTGCACTAGGACTCAATTGGGCAAAGATTTTTTTTGTTGTTAAATCTTTTTAGGTGTGGTATGTATTCCCAGCGAGATCTTAAGTGCCACAAATTCTGAAATGTATTTTTTTATATATATAAGTTTATTTATTTTTTGCTATATTCACTGGTGCGGCTGCAGGATGCATGATGAAAAAATAGTGAATAAAGAATTCCGAAACAAAATTAAGAATATCTTCGTTTTGCTATCGTTTCTACACTACGGCTTCTAATTACCACTTTTGTTTTTCGTTTTTAATGTCGATGACACCGTGTTGAGCAGGATGTCGTCTGCGTTGTGGACTTTCTTTTTAAGAACCGGTTTGAACCGGTTCGCGAATGGTGGAACCGGTAACCGAACTGTTATTACGAATGCCTCACTGAACCAGAATCGAACCGAAACAAAATGCAAAGTTACCGAAGCCGAACCCGAACTGAACTGGAATAATTACCGATTCGACTTCCTGCATAAGACTGTGGCAAGTACCAAGAAATGCTTAAAAAGCACGGAGGAAGCTTGTAGCCATCGAATCCGGTGTCCAAGCACGAAAATGAACTTCTAGCGGGTCGGTAAAGATGATTTGAAAAATACGCATGAAGGGTGGCACCATAAAATGCCGGTTGCTAGTAGAAAGAACTGCACTGCGTGTCTTTATCCCTGCACCTTTTATTCTTTCGTGTTTTTCAAAGACCAAGCATGTCGCGACACGTGATTTCTCGCTTTGTTTTTTTTTTTGAGTTGAGTATGAACGCTAAGAAGGAGAAAGTTAAAAAAATCATTTCAGGTCCCTTTAAGATAAAGTGAGGTACGAAAAACCGTTGCTTCAACGGAGAAGGCTTAACGTTATTAATTATACAGAGTGTCCCGGATAACTTGTACCGAACGTAGAGAAGAAAACGGAGCGGCCCGCGAGTGTAAAACAGTATGTTAGCAAGCGTTTTACGGAAGTGTACGAATTATTTTTAGTACGCCTAGTTATTTAATTAATTAAGACTTATTATCCCCTTTTTAATTACACGTTTAAGAACCGAGGTGTCATTTGCGAGGCTGTAGAAATACCCGATTAAGGTGTTTGATACATATGACACGCTTTGCGCGTCTCTTTTAATTAGCCCCAAAAAGTCCACGAAATATTAAAAAGAAAACAAAAAAATATTCCATGACGACGCGCTCGAGTGTAGCACTTGCAGCGGCGTGCAATTTTTAGTTTTCAGAAAGTAAAAAATGTGATGATAATGTAATTAATGCAAAGGTGCAAGCGGGCTGGAAAATAATGACAAATCGCCATAACCTTAAAAATGCAAGCTGTTTATCCTTTTTTGTGTTAGACTGGTGGCAGCGGAAAAAAACCGTTTGCTCCGCTGACGTCTGACTCCTGGTTAGCCCAGCTGGTAGAGCGCTCTACTTGAAACGGAGAGGTCCCTGGTTCGATACCAGGACCAGTCGGATTTTTTCGTTCGCGGTCACCTGGCTGTGTTTGGAGATTTGTGCTTGTCCTCTGTGCCCCTTGTTCCCCTTCCCCAGGAATTATTTTCGTCATCTGTAAACACAATACGCTTTTTTGCTCTACTATCGAAGGGTTACTCTATAAAAAAAGTTGTTAATTAAACTCTACTTAAAATTTACAATAAGCTTTTTTCTTCTGCAAAGGTTTTAGTGATTGGACGAATTTATCAATCAATGTCATGTTTAAAAATACATCTAGTAACTAAAAAACATTTATAGCTACTGCGATTTTCATCGAGTATCTTGGTGTAAATTAAAAAAAAAATGTTTTCTTAATAAGAACAAATATCTGATTTTCCTGATTGTTTTTTAAAAAAAATATGATTGTTTTCTACCCTGCTTCTTGGAATGCTGGCCAGCCGACTATAGAATATCCTAAAACTCCTACATGAGCTACGCCTCAAAGTAACGGTACTTCAGCAAATACTTCTGCTCGAAATTCAGTGTTGGCTTTACATGTGGCGCGATACAATTTCGGTAACACACGGTGTTTTCCGGACTATAGTTCCCGGACTATACTTGTTTAGAAGTTGAAATTTTGTGGCTTTGCCCATTACCTACAAGTGCGCACTATACAAGGTATTTTCTTTCCTTAAATCGTTCATCATGACTAGACGTGACTGATTTTGTGATTCGAAGAGTATGTTAATGATGATTTATGTATAATACAAGCCTTTTTGCGAACTAACTGAAAGCAGACATTTGTCAAGGTGCGCCGTGTACGAGAGGGAATTTTTGTTTCGACTAAGGACCAGGTGAGGAGTATGCTCGGGACGCGGAATGCGGACCGGTCGCGGATTATCTATGGAAACGCTCGTATTGTTGTCCCCCCATTTTCCCCTGAGAATTAAACACCGGGTGCGGTAGTATACTTCATCTCACTTTTGCATGGACTAACTGCAAAGGCTGTGCAAGCGCGAGCGGATAGCCTTGACTGCCATGACCGGAGCACTGACTGCACGAGTGGTCGTGCGACCGTCGAGGCTTCATCCAAAGGAACTAGCTCGCGCTTTTAGCATGCGCGGCTAACAATAGACCATGCTAAGGTGAGACGAAGTATAGCATACTCGTTACATTTAAAAGCAGTAATGCATAACGTACCTAATTACTTATTTCGTGTAACGGGTAACGTTGTTACGCGTTACAGATCATTGTCAAGACTTAAAAGAAATAGGAATATGGATTCTTGCACTCCTCCCCCATATCTTCCAACCCCCCCCCAAACACACACACACATACACACATACAAAAACAAATAAAGTGATTTTGTCGAGGTTTTGCGTAGACATAATGTTTTTGAAATATTGCGCTTATGCTTACCCGTACAGTAAAAACACAAAGAAAGTTTTAGTTCTTGCGCACAAACTAACGCTAAAGTAAATTGCATCACTTTTTATCGGTAACGGCAACGGTGACGCGTTCCTCTGATTCTCAGATAATGTAGGTTGTTAACGCGTTCCTGATATTTGCAAGTAACAAATATAATGCCTTCCGTCGTTTTTTATTTATTTTTATTTGGTAACGCCTACAACACTGCCAAAATCATTGCTGCCTGTTTTCTGAAGCTTTGTGTAAAATGCCAGAAAATGGTTTTCCTTCCTCAAGAAATGTTAATACCTTCCGCAACGATGCAAAACGATATCGCCAGAGCTTCATCACGTTCCGTCTAGAGCTCGAAAAGCCGCATTTTTTAACCATAACGATTCCCTTTTTTTGGCTCGCTCTCTACTTAGCACCCAAAATGATTGCGTCCACAAGAAAATGGTTAAAGGGGTTGCCGAACTTTTTTAGAGCGCAGCTCTTAGGCGCCCGTTTCCGGCTTGAGCGGCGTCGCCCTCGGCGTCGGCGTCGGCGTAACCGCGCGGTGCATTATGGGTAAATTTTCCCCCTAAATTTAGCGGAAAAATTTCCTCGCTAGATCTAGCGGAAAAATTTCCCCGCTAAATCTAGCGGACAAATTTCCCCGCTAAATGTAGCGGAAAAATTTCCCCGTTAAATCTAGCGGAAAATTTTCCCCGCTAAATCTAGCGAAAACATTTCCCCGCTAAATCTAGCGAAAAAATTTCCCCGCTCAATCTAGCGTAAAAATTTCCCCGCTAATCTAGCGGAAAAATTTCCCCGCTCAACCTAGCGGAATAAATTCTCCGCTAAATCTAGCGGAAAAATATCCCCACTCAATCTAGCGGAAAAAAGTCCCCGCTAAATCTAGCGGGAAAATTTCCCCGCTAGATCTAGCGGAAAAATTTCCTCGCTCAATATGGCGGAAAACTTCCCCGCTATATCTGGCGGAAAAATTTCCCGCTAGATATAGCGGAAAGATTTCCCCGCTAAATCTAGCGGAAAAAATTCTCTGCTAAATCTGGCAGAAAATTTTCTCCGCTAGATCTAGCAGAAAAATTGCCCCGCTCAATCTAGCGATAAGATTTCCCCGCTAAATCTAGCGAAAAACTTTCCCCGCTAGATCTAACGGAAAAATTTCCCCGCTCAATCCAGCGAAAAAAATTCCCCGCTAAATCTAGCGGAGGAATTTCCCCACTAGATCTAGCGGAAAAATTTCCCCGATCAATCTAGCGGAAAAATTTCCCCGATCAATCTAGCGGAAAAAATACCACGCTAAATCTAGCGGAGAAATTTCCCCACTAGATCTAGCGGAAAAATTTCCCCACTCAATCTAGCGGAAAAATTTCACCGCTCAATCTAGCGGAAAAAATTCCCCGCTAAAGCTAGCGGAAACATTTTCCAGCCAAATCTAGCGAAAAATTTCCCCGCTAGATTTAGCGAAAAAAGTTCCCCGCTAAATCTAAGGGAAAAATTTCCCCGCTAAATTTAGCGAAAAAATTTCTCTTGGGGGCCCCGGGACCCCCCCCCCCCCCCCCCGTCCCCGAGGTCACGTGATACCCCAGGTCACGTGACCCCACCAAGGTCATGTGACCCCCCCCCCCCTCCCCGAGGTCGCGTGCCACCCCCCGAGAACACGTGACCCTCAGTACCCTTCCCTCCTCCTCCTCAAGAGCTGCGCTCTAATTCGGCGTTACAGAAAGTTGTAAACGGCTTTCATTTTTTTTTCCGTTCAAATGGAGTTGATAATTCTAAGCGTGGCTTAGTTGTAGACCCTAAAACACCATTTTTGTCTGGCATAGCAATCTGTCTTGTCTCCTCTCTCCTCCGTCCCAGCACAAAGTAGTCAACCAGGGTTCTAATCTGCACGGCGCGCTATCAGGTGGTACTAGGCGGGACCGGAGACATCGCCGCCTGCTGCGATTGGTTAGCGGCAGTCCTGTACGCGTTAGTCGAAACGGGTTATCAATTACAACTATAATTGCTCTCGTTTAAGTGGCATACAATGAGATTATTCAAATATACTTGAGACGAAAAGAAGTTGACCGTTACCTGTAAAAGTAACCGTCATTTCTTCGATTACTTCAGATTTTCAAAAACGACAAAGCTTTCTGCCGGTTTGAAAATGGGTCTTTCCCATTGTTTTCCATAAATATTGTATGTTGTTGGATATACGAAAACTCCAAATGATGAATTACTTGTCTTCTTTAATCGGCGAAACTGGGTAAACCAGCCTCCAGTCGGAGACATGGATCGAGGATTCTTTGGCGGGGAACTTGCACAAAGGTCCCCATTGGAAAAGGGTGGGAAAACTAGTAGCGGTTACAAGTAATTATAGTACTTCCGAGAGTAATCGAATATATCCTTTGTCCCGCCGTGTATGATATGACCCCAGAACTGATATTCAGAAAAAAAAAAAAAAACATATCTTCTATTTCTTTGCGAAATAATCTTCCTATCTTTTCGCTGCCGACCACATCTGGTTCACTAATTAACGATGAACGGCGTTGAACCGTAGAGGATAATTTATTTAATTAATTCCCGCGGATTACCGGAAGATCAACCGAAGTCTTCGTTAATCGCATTAAACTTTAAAGCAAAAATTAGCCTATGTTGGTGGACGCATCTATTGAAGCTTTCATCGTGCACGATTACCTTATGAAACTTTCAAAATGGAAACCGACGCTGTATGGGCTGAAGACCCTGATGCCTTCTTCTGCGTTTTTATTGTCTAATACCGCACTTTCATTGGCTTCGGAGCAATTAGAAGATGATTCAGTTGTCCGTCACTATAAGGCTGACATAAAGGTTGTCAACCATTTCGTCGTTTACCCTGAGACTGGGGGGGTTTTTGAAGAGCAGAAGTAACAGAAACAGACAGGTCTCAAACTCAGCTACACGTGTATTCCCCAGCTAGCCTGTACTTTGACTCTTTTCTCGATAAAGGTAGTGCCTCTCGAATCTTCCCAGGGCGGGAGGAGCCCCCGCAAGGTGGCGGGGGTGGCCTCCAAGGGGAGCCGAGAGATATCAAACTGATCACTGCGACGGGGTTGTGTGGTTCATGGTTGCCATACAGTGACTGTCGGACCCGCTGTGAGGAACGCTCGTCTCTTAGTAGCGGAGTTGGATAGGTGAGTCGAGCACTGCAGGGAACTTTTAGTACTGGTTGACTCTTCCCGGGCCGTTCCACTGGCTGTCCCGATTGCTGGTTTCCTTTACCCCATTAATTTCCAACTGGCGTTTCCAGAAATTCCCACTTGGCCCAAGGATCTAATTCATTTTACTTTAATTGGCTTTAAGTCTCTGCTGCGAAAGCGGGAGTGGACTGAGGCATATTATTTTTATTTCTTCTTCTCTGGCCTCAAATTCACCGATGTCCGTCACTATAGATTATCAGAACATTGACAAAGGATAATAAGACTACAAAAACTCATAAATTTGTTGAAAAAAAAAAAGTCAGCTTGCAGTAAAACGTTTTGTTCCCCCGTTTAGAGAGAAGCACAAGTAATCATACAGGCAAAAAAAAAGTGCAGCTTGTACCCAATTTTCTGGACATTAACACGGCTTGCCCGTGACGTTATCGTATCATGCTGGTGGTCATT